ACGCGCCGCGCAGAGTCTACGACGATCTATCCCGATTTGACAAGCTCGTCTCAGCGAACGTCTCGCGAGAACTCGGTCCCATCGGGCTGTCGTGGGTGCATGGAAGCGAGAGTATCGCGATGTAACGTCACAAGTGTCGAGGACCGAAGCGGCACACGAAGCGGAAGATTCTGTCGGGAGTCGGGCGCGCTTCATTTCCGCCCTGGCGCAGCGGCTCGGTCATCGTTTCCGTCGCGAGGGTGTCTATGAGCAGCTAGCGTACTTTAGTTTTGCGGTCTGAATTTATCTAGTTACTTCTACTCGGAAGTCTGCGATACTCCTCGGGCTTGGGGCTAGGATTTTTATATTTACTTTTACCGCGACAAGCTTTTATTTTTATTTGCGCTGCTCTTCATGCGCCTTGAATTTAGATTTGTTTGTTTATTTATTTGTCGATTGAATGATTTATTTATTCCTACGAAAGTGCGTATACGGTCTTTCTTCATCATCGGAATTTGGATGTTTTGTGTTTACTCGACTTATTTTTCCGTCGAATGTTGTCGGTACTTTTCACGCTTCGCAGTGTTTGCAAGGTACGTGTAATATCTGTCCGGGTGCGAATCCAGAGCTGTCGGGCTGTCGGGAAATATAAAGGGATGTTGCGCGATAAAGACTTCAAAAACTTGGTTTGCGATGTGTAACGAGATGACACTCGCGAGATGAGCGTCCGGCCTTCGGCCTGAAAATAGGACCTTTGCTTCGCGGATGCTCGTCTCCTATTGGAATCGAATCGCGCGGACCGCCCGTCTAATTCTTATCTAGGACTGCACGCGACGTTTCAAAGAAATGAGGAGATATATATATATATATATATTTTTTTCTAGATGACACAATTTGTAGCAGCTACAGAGCGAACCGCGGAGAAATTTTCTTCGCGAGTCTTTCCTCTTTGTATCTATTTCTGCAACCAGATTCCGCGTAGATTTCGATTAAATATGCAAATTGGCATCATCGCCCAGTCGTTGGAGTAAATTACATAGTCTCGGGTGAAGTCTTTTCTCCACACCGTGCCATTCGATATTTTGCTTTGGCAAAATATCGCTGTGACGTTTTCCGCTTGCTTTCTCGCGTGCGCGCGAGTAAACGCCGAGAGATGGCCAGCAGCGGCGGCGGGAGACTTTCACTCATTGTTACACTGACGTTACGCTTCGATACACGATTCCGTCTCTCGATGTGCTGCCCAATTACAATTCGGCTATTGTTATCAATCGGCTCGTTTGAGCTGCTCGCGCCATGGGAAAAATACTCGCGCTGTTCGCGCGAGGTGCTCCACCGGAGAAACGGCGGTCCTACTTAATTGCGTAACGGACGAAAACACGTACGATACACGCAACGGAAATTGCAAATTATCCCCCAGCCGGAATTGTCTACTTTGCATGCCCGATACGGATAGATATCGAAGTTTCGCGCAGCGTGTGCTACTCATTTTCCCATAATTGTCCCGTCGTAGATACGCTAAAAAGAGAGAGAGAAGAAAGAGGGGGGGCATGCTATTTGATTTGGCTTCCGGATTGGTAACGCGTCCATTATGGATTTGTTTCCGAAAGACGTCTCGTGAATATTTCAGCTCACATCTTCAGGAACAAGCTGAATTCAGGTGAGCGCGGGAGACCAACCCGGAAACCAAATCAAATATTTCTCTACACCGAGGGAGACTAAAATACCAGAGAGAGAGAGAGAGAGAGAGAGAATGTTATCGAACGAGACACGTTAACGATAACGTTAACTCACAGAGCCTCGTATCCGCTGGCGCGGAATTTTCGTCCGTTAAAGAATGCATCGCCGTGGCCGAGGCCAGGAGTTTTCTATCGGCGGTTTTATCACGTGCTGCGACGGAGTGTAGAAAAAAGCGTGTCCATCGGTTTCCTTCGGTCGAAAGTATCTACCGAAGTATCGCGTGCATAAATGCGTACGTGAAGTTGACGAAACAAATGTTTCGATTGATCGGTGATCTCCTTTATTTATCGCTCCGATCACTTTTATTATTATTCCTAGGCTGACGTAACGGAACAGCCTTATATGACGCCGGTTTGTGACGCCGCGGTCTCTCATGATGTGAACGGTTATCCCAGTTACGAAATCGGCAATAAAACTTAGCGAAACTCCGGCCGGGTGTATTTTCGGCCGCGCGACTTCCTCGTATACACATACACACTCACGCGGTTCGACGCGGGAGACGACGACGGGGAACGTCGTTCGTTATTTCCTCCTCGTCGTTGTATCGCAAACAGCCCGCGGCCCGGACGCACGTCCGCGTTAAAAAAGAGAAAAACACCGGTGAGCGTTTTGTCAAGTGCGAACGGTTTGTGTCACGTTCCGGGACACTCGCTCCGAGTGGGACGCGTGAAATCACGTTCGAAACCGCCTTCGGTCGGTTCGGCCTTACGGACACACGACCGGCGAGGGAAAATCGCAGCCCGAGTTCTATTCGAGAGTTTTCTATCACCATTTTCGACCCTTTTCCTCGCTCCGACCGAGCGACGTGGCAATTTTCGCGTCGTTACGTCGCTTACAAATTTTCTCCGTACACCTTCGCCTTCTTCAGCGAAAATTCTCGCTGTATCTCTATCTCCCCCCCCCCTCTATCTCTCTCTCTCTCTCTCTCTCTCTCTCTCTCTCTCTCTCTCTCTCTCTCTCTCCAACACCTCGCACGTCAAACCGATAATTTCGGACTTATCCCCTTCTGTCACCGAGAAGTGCGCAGAGTTCTTGACACGCGTAGCACGGCCCTCGCTTTATATAACGAGTCCCGATTAGTTCGTACCAGGCAGAGACGGCCTGTCATTGCACAAGATAGAGACGGAGAGAAAGAGCGGCGGGCTGGGAGGAGGGACGACATATCGAGGATATTCCGGAAAACGGAGAAACAAAGATAGCGGACGAGCCTGTACATGCGCGAAGGTGAAGGCGAGAAGAGAGGTCGGGCGAAGGTGAGGGGGGAGCCAGGAACGAAAGAGACCGCGTTCGACTTTCGCTTTAGACCGGAGTGTCTTCAACCTGACGAGAGAGAGAGAGAGAGAGAGAGAGAGAGAGAGAGAGAGAGAAAGAGAGAGAGAGAGAGAGAGAGAGAGAGAGAGAGAGAGAGAGAGAGAGAGAGAGACGGATGGAGGGAAAGAGAGAGGGCACACGTTCTAGTCGGTCGCCGGCGTGATCAACAGGATATAGCCGTGTCTGAATTGCACTTATGCTCGGGTAACCTGCTCGAGAGACTAATATACACCGCGCCGGAACGGTAACGAGGGGGATTAAATGTACACCGACTCGCGGCGCATCCATTATCGCAAAGAAGCGTGAAGGAGAAGTCTGAAGAAGCGCGTATAACGTGGCTCGAGAGTCTAACGCTGTACGTCTATCATATCTTATTTTCCGACGTAATATTTTCCCTCCTTTTTTCTGTCCTTTCAAAGAGACGACAGAAATATACACCCGGAAATATACAACGACGAAATTGCGATCCTGCCAATATCAATCCTTAAAGACTACCACCATGAGCGAGAGATATCACATCCCATGCGAATTTTGTTTCCTTCTTAATAAATGTTAAATTACCCGCTGCAAACAACAACTTTTCTATTCTTCACCAAATATCCCACCGATAATAATAAAACACTCGATCGCATGATTGTTTGACTTTTTATTTCCGAAATAAAAAAAATATACGCCGGGATGCAATTTCCGCCGACGACACTAACGAGCATTAACGTGATTTTCTTTGATAGCTTTGATAGCTTTCAAGGATTAAGATTATTATCGCTCGGTCGAGCGAGGCTTGGTGCTTCAAATAGCGCACGTTTCACCACCTGCACGTCCTGTGAGGGCAATAACAAAGACTCGCTCACACTCACTCTTTTGTTTGAGCCAAATTGGTAGCGTCTTTGCGCGATCGCCGCGCTTTCAGCTTGATCTTTCAACTTTCCGTTATTTTGTATCCGTTCCGCGAGTTCCTCCTCCTCCTCCCACCCTCCTCGCGAGATCCGCTTGTTGCGTTCGTCGTTGTCGACGTTATCGCCAGCCAGCGAAGGACTCAACGTCGATGCAACTGGCACGACAATAGTCGCGCGGAATTAATCGAACGGCGGACATGAAGTTACGGGCAAACAAGTCACCGCCATAAATTGATGCGTCGAGATAAGGAGGCAGTTTCTCGAGTTGGACGCTCGTAAATTCGCGGGCCGTTCCGCCGACGAGCCCACCGCGCGAAATCAGTATTTAGGAGCGCGCGCGGCCGGGAAAAACTACTCTCCTACCGAGGGAGATAATCTGCCCCCCCCCCCCCTCGCGCTGTCGTCGTCGATCTTGCGCACGTCGCGAGAGATCGCCGCCCTATACATGATACTGCGCGCGGCATTTAATCGGCGTCGGCCGACGAAAAAGTCTCGTCTTCGCGGTCTCTTCGCGGTCACGACGAGACGCGAGCGCAATCGGTGGCTATCTCGCGTGTAACTTGCTGTAACTTATTTATTCAGCGCGAACACTACCTCGAAGCTACTTCCCGCCCCTGTCTCTTTCAACGTGCGCGCCGAGCGTTACTATACGTCTCGTCGAGAGCTTGTTTACGAGAGCCGAGATTCAGCAGCAAGTTTTCGCCGTAGCCAGAGACGATACTCTCGACTACGCTCGAATATATACGATCGGTACTCGGAATGATCCTTTTTCCGGAAGTTCACGCTCCTCGGAGCACTTTCCAACGACGACGTAAAAGCTAGCCCGGAAGTAGAGCTAGCCGACCGCCGCGCGCCGCCGGGAAATGAACAATTAATCGGCCATCCGATGCGATCGTAAAAGCGACATGTGACACACACGTGCGGCGGACCGCGCCTGAGACAGGCGTGTTGTTGGTCGATCATTGTTCGCGTCGTGCGTGCGCAAACCGCGAAAAATAAGACGCCATTAATCAAGCCCCGCGAGAGAGAGAGAGAGAGAGAGAGAGAGAACGGCTCGATGTATTTATCGCCGCTCGACACGGCGGAGCAATCAATTTTCACTGTGGCGCGATCGAGCGGACGTATAGGAAGTTCAAGCACCGATATAGGATAGGTGGAAATCGAGGTCGGCCGTGCTGTACGCGAAACGGACTCCGCGCGCAGAAACGCGGCATCATTCGCCTGAAGCATCTCTCGGCGAAAAAAAGAAACATCTCTCCGAGCGCGGAAATTTGAAAAGCGCGGCGGCTTCGAAGTCGCGCGCGTTTTATCTCAGTCGGCGGAGCCCGCGCGCCGCGCGTTCGGTGAAAGTTACGCGCGATAACGCGCGCGTTTCTTCCGCCCTTTTTGCGTATTGATTTCATCGCTCGGCTCAATCGACCACATCCGGGGCACATTAGGCGACGCTGCGCGGTCCGTACCTTTTTTCTGCTTCTGCTTCTTCTTCTTCTTCTTCTTCTTCTTCTTCGGTCAAAGAGATCGCGCGAGCAGACGGCCGGGGCGAATTGAATCGTCCACTTTCTTTGAACACGGTTTCTCACGAGAGCGTTCGTTTTTTCGCGGATGCTCTGCTGATTGCTTGTTTGGCGCGGGATTGTCGGGATATCATCAAAATTATACGCGAGATTATATCGGCGATCGGCCGCGATTATACCGGCGAGAATATTCCGCGAGGCCTGGCTCCGAGTCAACACAACGGCGTGCTTCGGCTCTTTCCAGCCGGCCGGCCGGCCGGCCGTCCGGCATGGCGTTTTCTCTCTTTCGCTATTGAAATATACCACGCTACAGCGCCGCAACTCGCCGAGGAGACAGCTAAACAAT